TCGAACCCACGGGCTCAGGCAATCCACTCGCCTCAGCCTCCCAAAGTGCTGGGATTACGGGCTGAGCCATTGAGCCTGGCCAATTTAAATATATTTTAAGAACATGTATACATGTGGTAAAAGTTCTCTTTTTTAAAAAAGGTAAGGGAGTTTTTAACGTAATTCAGAATAATGGTACTATCTTAGAGACAAAGGAGTTTGCCATCAGAACACATAGGTTATAGCTTCTGGGAAACTGATTTTCTAGTTCTTAAGTTCTATCTATGCTCTGTTGTAACATGTTATTTACTACATAATGAAGATTTTTTTTTTTTTGAGTTGGAGTCTCTCTCTGTCGCCCAGACTGGAGTGCAGTGGCCACTGCAGTCCCGACGACCGCGGACCCGACCCGCTGGCCTCCGGCGATCCTTCCGCCTCCGCCTTCCAAGTAGCCGGAATTACAGGCGTGTGCTACCACACCCGGCTGATTTTTTGATTTATTGTAGAGATGAGGACTCGCTGCCCAGGCGGGTCTCGAACCCGCGGGCTCAGGCAATCCACTCACCGCAGCCTCCCAAAGGCGTGGGATTACAGGCTGAGCCACAGAGCCCGGCTGGAGATATTTTTAAAGTTCTGTCAAATAGTAGGTTTGAGCCATATGAAACTACCAATATTCAACTGTTTTTGACCCACAAAAATGACAATCTCGTTTGCTTCAACCTAATGCTGTGTGTTGCCCTTGACCGCTGTGTGGGATGAGATGAATTCCACCCCATCTGATCCTGGAGCCATCTTTCAGAAGGCTGGAAGAGTGGTAGCCACTGAGAGCAGCAGACAGGCTCTTTCTTTTTCGCTGTACTGGGGGAGGACCTTGGAGTCCTGAGGTGTGCTTGTCTTTGAGCACGTTAGCTTTACATTTCCCGTGTCGCCAAACAATTCCTGGCATTGCTGAGAGCTGAGTGAGCTGCTTTGATACAAAGCCCTATGTGCCCTGCCCGGGAAGCTGAGTCCCTAACCCTTCCACAGCATGGGACCTTGGGGAGCACATTGAAGAGAGTTCCAGAGCGGAGCTGAAGATTGAGCCTGATGCTTTCGGCGAGCTTGTAATCCTCATGAGAAAGCACCCACCACTTGCTGGGCCTTGTCCCGGGTTAGGCTGTCCCGTGTCTCACGGCGTGACCTCCGCTAGGTCTCCTTGCGTTGCTGCGAGAGGCTCCACATCCTCGTTCCCACTATAGGGAGGCAGGAAAAGGCACAGAGATGTGGAGTAACTGCCTGGTCACGTGTACTTAAGATGAGTGTTAAAGCCAGGTTCAAGCCGAGGTTTCAAGCTCGGAGCGTTCATTCCCTGCCCCTGTGCCGTACTGCTCTGCATCTCCAGAGAGTCTCTCTGGGACGTCTGTAGGGAATGGGTCACACGAGGAAGCTGCATGCGACCCACAGGTCCTGAGCCCCAGTGGCATCCTGTGAGAGGCAGCCACACAAGCGCAGCCTCGGTGTGTGGCAGGAGCCAGACCAGAGGCCGGAGGAGTCCTCCTCGACTCTCTCTGTTCACTTTGCCCTCCGACTCCTGCTCTGGGCCCAGCCCATGCTGACGCCCACCAGTGGCACAGCTTGTGGCAGTGGCACAGCTCGCGGGGGTTTCCTGAGCAGTGCGTGTTCTGAACACCATCGCTTACTGTGGCCGGAAGAGCAGGAAGTCCCAGCCATGGAAGAGCGGAAGCTGGGCCACATGGGAAACCATGCAGCTGTGGACTGTCTGTGCTGGGGCAGTGGACAGGCTCACTGTGTGTGGCTTAGAGGCCGGGGTGGTAGGTGGTGGGAAGGTCGTTTGAGTTCAGTGAAACTTACGGAAGGACTTTCTCACCATTAAAAAGAGTTCAAAACGAAACAGCCCCTTGGTGGCCTGCACCTCCCTGTAGAAGTGCCGTAGCTCTTAGGGAGTCACCATCTGTGGGGACAGCGACCATTCTGAAGGGAATTGGGGGCACTGGGTGAGACTTCAGTGACCTGCAAAAACTGGCTTCTAGTTCGTAAGGTTGTGTGACCTCACACTTTTTAGGTCACCTGGGGACATGTCAGTTTTTAACTCTTTCTTCCATTTCAGAGCCGGCGGTTAGATACTGAAGAATTAAGTTTGCCAGATATTTCTGCAGAAATAGCTGAAAAAATGGCCACATTTCATGGTATGAAAATGCCATTCAATAAGGAACCCAAATGGCTTTTTGGCACAATGGAAAAGTAAGTGGGCTCACTTGGTCCTGAGTTGACACCAGTGGCTCCCGGGAGTACCAGAGGGAGCGTGTGTTTGCCACGGTGGTCAGGGCCTTCCCGTAGGGCACTGGGTGCAGGCCATCGACTGGCGGTGCTTGCTCGCCCCGTCGGGAAAAGTCAGTTCCTCACCCGAGGAAGTCTCGCTTGCCGAGATGCTGTGGAGCGGGTGGAGGGGCAGCACACCTCTTCTGGCGTGGGGTTCCCACGCCCTCTCCCCTTGTCCCGAGTCTGGCAGTCAGAGAGGTCCTCTGTGACTGTGACGGTGTGGGGAAGGAGTGTTCAACTGAAGGCTCGAGAGCGAGCCTTGGGGGTTGGTCAGTGAGTCTTTGTTCCTTCCTTGGTTTTTTCCAGATATCTCAACCAAGTGCTGAGAATTAAATTTACTGAGGAGTCCAGAATTAAACAGCTCCACAAATTCCTCAGTTACAACCTGCCTTTGGAACTGGAAAACCTAAGGTGAGCATTTGCTTCTGTTTCCTGACTTGGTTCATCTGCCCAGAAATTTAATCATTCTTTGTCCCGTAAACTGTTGTTAGTGGCACTGCTTAGGCTTGCCTTATGCCTGGTCCTCTACGTTGGTTTTGCAGGGTTGGATTCCAGATTGAATTGTGTCATCCGGAATTACAGTTTCCTCCGAATGCTGTCCCTTGGCCTCTAGTTAGCTATGGAGGCGTCGTGCAGGGGGAAAGATGTCTGAGGAGTAGGTTGGTGATTAGGGCAGTCGATTTCTTCTAGCGGGGAGAGGCCGTGGAGGCAGCTGGGGGCATGAGGGACAGTTAAACCTCAGCTCCGGGAGAAACAGCATCTCGACACTGATTTCTGAGGCAAGGCCACCGTGGTGTCCTCGGGATGAGGCTGGGTCAGACGCTCCCAGACATGCCCTGGATGTGTTTGCGCCTTCAGTTACTCAGATATTTGAATGTCTCCTGTGTCGGGCATTATGACTGGTGCTGAGGAAATGGCGACCAACACATTTTTCAAAGTGTTTCTGTGTTGCTTGGAGGACAGAACACTCGTAAACACATGAAGTAATGTTAAGTTGTGATAAGTGCTGTGACACAGACCAGCGTGAACCACGTGGGGGCATCTGCTTGGGGTCGTGGTCAGAGAAGAGCTGACCATGAAGGACTGGGCATGCCAAGACCCGTGGGGGTAGGCCTGGCTGCGGGAGAAGGGGGCACCAGGAGGGGGACAGCCAGAGCCCTCGACCCGGGTGGCCTGCGGGTGAGCTGCTGTGCACTGCCACGGCCAGCGGAGTTCTCGTGACGAGTGTGGCTCAGAGCCCACGTGTCCCTGGAGCCCTGATGGGCACTGTTTCCTGGAGCAGGACGGCTCCTTCTCTGTGCATGCATGATGGTGACAGTGAGAACTTCCTTTCCAGGTCACTGCTCCGGTCCACTCCGTCTCCAGTCGTGTTCTGTCACAACGACTGTCAAGAAGGTAAGGACTGCTGCGTTGTGTCACAGTGGGGTGTGTCCCCTCAGATGATCACCGCCCAGTGGGCATCCAGAGAACGTTAGAGCACTGGCTCATGACCCAGCCAGCCAGGGAAGCTGGGCCTATTAGAAAGAACGAGACAGAGTTCTGGACGAACCAACAGGAAGATACCCAGGGTGTCTAAAGGGAGAAAGGCAAGCCTTAGAAAGACTTGCAGGGTGGTGTCACATTTCCACAAAAAGAAGTTACATGGAAAAGAACTGAGAGAATGCTCACTAAACGTAGGCATCGGGATAAAAGGCATCAGCTAAAAAAAATCCAGGCCAGGCTCGGTGGCTCAGCCAGTCATCCCAGCACTTTGGGAGACTGAGGCAAGTGGACTGCCTGAGCCCGTGGCTTCGAGACCAGCCCGGGCAATTTGGCGGGACCTCGTCTCTACCATAAATAAATAAAATGAGCCAGGTATGGTAGCTTGTGCCTGTAGTTCCGGCTACTTGGAAGACTGAGGTGGAAGGATCACCGGCGCCCAGCAGGTCGATGCTAGGGTGGCCATGAGCGTGCCATGGCACTCCAGCCTGGGTGACAGAGTGAGACTCCAACTCAAAAAAAAATCCAAAAAAGCAGAAGAACAGGACTCCCTCCCCTCCCCCTGCCCTGGGCCCTCCCCTTTGCCAACACACAGCTCTGTGTTGTGTCCTTTCCCAAAGCCTTCTCTTCTAACACCTGTGCATGATATTATTATTTTTTTGTTGTTGTTTCATTTTTTTTTTTTAGTTGGAGGCTCACTCTGTCGCCCAGACTGGAGTGCAGTGGCCGCTCCCGGCCACCGCAGCCTCGACCTGCTGGGCTCCGGCGATCCTTCCACCTCAGCCTTCCAAGTAGCTGGAACTATAGGCGTGCGCTACCATGCCCGGCTAATTTTTTGATTTATTGTAGAGATGAGGTCTCGCTGCCCAGGCGGGTCTCGAACCCGCGGGCTCAGGCAACCCACTCACCTCAGCCTCCCAAAGGCGCGGGATTACAGGCTGAGCCACTGAGCCCGGCTCCGTGCATCATATTATAATGACCTGGGATTTTTCTGCTTTAAAACAGTGCCAGTGCCACGTGTCCCTTACTATAACAACTTTATCCAGCGGGGTGTCAAGCATCTTGGTCTCTTCAGATGACCCCTGTGCAACTCACACTGCTGACACCTCTGGCTGTGTCTTGCTGCCCCATCCTCCCATCACAGACGACTGAGATCCGAACTCAGACCCCCTTTGCCAGGCTTATAGTTAGTTTTCAATTCTGAGGACAGTTTCCTGTGAAGCCTGTCAGCAATAAGCCATTTGTTTGAGCCAGAACACCTTTTACTGACTAGCTGGTGCTTGCTGGCTAACTTAAGTCAAGAAGGTTATAGACATTTCAGTCACAGCTTTGTGTGTTATCCGCGCTCTTCTGGTGGTGAGGGGGTGATAAATGGCCCAGATGTCGCCTGAGAGAGAGGGATCTGGGAGAGATCAGCTGCCACTGTGATGGCAGAGTGTGGACAGGCCCGAGGTGACAGGAGCTGTGTGCACGTTTTGCGTCACATCTCCTTCCGTTTGCCACTCGGCACAGAAGAGGTGTGCCGAAGTGCCTGGACACTGTACCTCCCTGAAGCCCTGGGCAGCAGGGTGGCCAAAAGGCTGGCAGAGGCTGGCTCACTGGTGCCAGCCCACGAAGCTCGAGATGCTGGGCGTTGTACAGGGTGTGGGGATCTCAGGAACATAGGTCCGAAGGTCTGGCTGGCAGCCAGTGCACTTCTGGCCCAGAACGGAGCACCAAAGGAAACCTTGTCATAGGAATGCCGTCTGGGGTCTCCTTGGGAGGGAAACCAGATGAGGACAGAGCGAGGTGGCCACTGTGGCAGCTGAGCCCACCCCTGGCGTCCTCACGGAGGACACAACAGCATCCCAGCCGGTGTCAGCTGGCAGCAGACAGCCAGTCGAGTCCTGGGGTTGGGGAAGCACCATGTAGAATGCCTGGGGTGTACTGCACAGACGGGCCTGTCGGAGGCTGGACTCTGTTCCCCAGCGAACCCGGGTCCCAAGGGGGACAGGCCATGAGCAGGCACACGCATGCCCAGGGTGTCTGGAGCTCCTGCCCAGGGCCAGGCCTCCTCGGGCAGAGGACCTGAGCTCTGTCCTCGCTTTGGTGACGTTTGTGGACCAGAAGCCACATTAGGAGTCCCCAAAAGGGTCAGGACCCCTTTCTGTCGGCGCCACTGTCCAAGGACTTGAGGCTTGAATTCTAAATTCTGAGTCATGGACCCAAACCTTTTGCAGGTAACATCTTGCTGCTGGAAGGCCGAGAGAATTCTGAAAAGCAGAAACTGATGCTCATTGACTTTGAATACAGCAGTTACAATTACAGGTAACATGTTACAGTCAAGTCAAGCCTTGCATTTCAGTGTTGTCTTATTATCGCGACTTGTTCGTGAAGCAATTATAGGAGAAAGTAAGTCAAAACACCGTTCTAGGCTGCAAGCTGCAGTGAAGGCGTGTGTCCTGGGCCCGTGATGGCAGTGCGGAGAAGCTGACGGCCCTCCTGGTCTCAGCCGGTGGGCTGTGGGCGGCAGTGCAATTCCAGCCCAGTACTGGTGCTTTCTTTTGGCTTCAGTGCTCGCTTTCCTCTCAAGTCCTGCTTGCGGGAATGCATGGCTCTGGAGTTGGGGTTCAGGTGGCCCTTCTGGTTTCTGTCGGCTGGGGTTCTTGTGGTCACCCGATTGGCTGTCCCTGTCGTTAAGACCGTCACACTCCGGTTCACGCAGGAAGTCCTGCTGGCGGCCAGAGTGACTGCCCATTTCCCTTCTGTGGGCAGGGAGGCCCTGGCACGCGGTTTACCTCCTTCTGCCCTTTCCTTTGTCTCACTTCAGGGGCTTCGACATTGGCAATCATTTCTGTGAGTGGATGTATGATTATACCTATGAAAAGTACCCGTTTTTCAGAGCAGATATTCGCAAGTATCCCACCAAGAAGCAACAGGTAGGAGATCCGTTGTTGTGTCCTTGATAGGTAAATTATGTAAGTCAATTTTGTGCAGTTAGAATTAACGTCTTTATTTTTAAAGATGACCTTTCTAAATTGTGGAATGGTTAGGCAAAGTCTTTGACTTAAGTTAAAAAATGTTTTACTTTTCCCCCCCCATTAAATGGAGAGGCGAACTTGACCTTTGAGCCCAGCTCTTTAAAAAAATCTCTGCTGGAGATACTTGTATTCAGTCAGAGACGAGCACAGCCTCCTCAGTAGTTCCCGCTGGGGTTTCCCAGGAAGCCCAGCCGCGGCTCTGCTCTTTGGCCTTTCTGACGTCCTGTTCATTTCATGCCGTGTGGAGAGAAGTTATTAAGTAGTCGCTTAGCACCAGGGCTCAGTAGCTGCAGAAAATGCCATTGGTGTCCGCAGTTCCCACTCTGGATTCTGGAAGGCCAGTGGTTGTGTGGAGAGCCATTTCTCGGGGCAGCTGCCGCCTGGGCCCTCTCCCGTGACTCCGTCCCGTGACTCAGCCTCCGCCAAGGCCTCGGTGCGAGCGATAGGTAGGGAGTGCCGGCCGGCCCGTCTGCATGCGCGAGGGCACAGCCCGCCCTGCTGGTCCTGCTGGCGTGAGCCCTTCACACCTGGGCCAGGGACGGCAGGCACGGACTGCCCACTGCTCAGCTGCTGTCATTCGCTCTGCAGGTGTGCCTGGTTCTTTTTGGAGTCGGGATCTCACTCTGTCGCCCAGGCTGGACGGCAGTGGCACCATCACGGCTCACCGCAGCCTCAACCTCCTGGGCTCAGACAGCCTTCCCGCCTCAGCCTTCCAAGTAGCTGGGACTACAAGTGCACACCACCATGCCCGGCTAATTTTTCTATTTTTTTGTAGAGATGAGGTCTCATTATGTTGCCCAGGTTGGTCTTGAACTCCTGGCCTCAAGCGATCCTCCCGCCTCGGCCTCCCAAAGTGGTGAGATTGCAGGTGTGAGCCACTGCACCCAGCCTCCGCAAGTGTTCCTTGAGCACCTGCTCGGAGCCAGGGACTGTGCTAGTCTTCGGTAGGTGGTTAATTGGCTACCTTGCTGGAAGGTCAGCAGGGCTTCCTCGACCACCTTTCCCAGCGTCTCCTCTGCCATCTTTCTTCTCGAAAACTGGCTTTTGCGTGTGCCACCGCTTCCCCCACCAGAACACATCGTCCAAGTTCAAGCACTCGATGGCAGTGTTCAAATGTCGACTTGCCGAGGGGCCAGAAACTCAGTTGGCTTTCTTCTGCCACATTTCAAGGCCGATTGTGCTGAGTTTGAATGTTTTCAAAGCACAGTGCCTGGACTTCCCTGAGGAGGAAGGGCGGGAGAGGCCGGGCCACTCGGCCTGGGAAGGAGAGACAGCAGCCGCCTTGAGGACCTGGGTCACTGCCACGCTTGGGAGAAATGTGACTTCTGCGAACCCCGAGTGGTTCTCGAGGTCCAGACTCCTGAGCCAGTGAGGGATGCCGAGACTGCCACGCATGCCCACTTGAGGGAGTCTCCTTCAGAGTCTGTTTTCCAAAATGCTCTGAGGGTGATGGCTGTGCTGCTCTGTATCAGGTAACCTTTCCGCATCCATCGAGGTCATCTCACGTTTTTTCTTTGTTTAATCCACTCACAAAATGTTTTTAACTGTCAAATCATCCTGGAATTGCTACAGAGACACCATTAGCACGAGTTATGTTATTCTGTAATGCCCTGGGGATCCTGGTGGGTAATATCTTATTGTAGGAGTTTTGCATCCATGCTCTTACATGAACTGGGCCTCCAGTGTTCAGTTAAAAATTATTCATACCTGCTTTTTGGACTCAAAATTATACTAATTTTTTTTTTGAGTAGAGTCCCACCCTGTTACCCAGACTGGAGTGCAGTGACACACTCACGGCCACCGCCGCCTCAACCTGCTGGACTTAGGCGACCTTCCGCTTCAGCCTTCCAAGTAGCTGGAACTACAAGCATGTGCCGCCACGCCTGGCTAATTTTTTTTTTTAATCTCTTGTAAAGACGAGGTCTCGTCAAGTTGCCCATGCTGATCTTGAACTCCTGGGCTCAGGCAAGGCTCTCATCTCCGCCTCCCAGAGTGCTGGGATTACAAGCGTGAGCCACTGCACCTGGCCAAAGTCATACTAGTTTTATAAAATGAGTTGGGCAGCTCTCTCCCTCCTTATTTTCTAGAACAAGTTTATATAAGATAAAGATGCGTGTCTTTGCAAGTTTGGTAGGCCTTGCCTGTAAAATAGCCTGAGCCTAGGACTTTTTTGGAGGGAGGGCCACTAATTACTGTTCTTTTTTTCTTTTTCTTTTTTTTTTTTGAGTTGAAGTCTCACTCTGTTGCCCATGCTGGAGTACAGTAGCACGCTCACGGCCACCACAGCCTCGACCTGCTGGGCTCAGGCGATCCTTCCGTCTCTGCCTTCCAAGTAGCCAGAACTACAGGCGCGCACTACCACACCCAGCTAATCTTTTGATTTATTGTGGAGACGAGATTTCACCATGTTGCCCAGGCTGGTCTTGAACCTGTGGGCTCAGGCAGTCCTCTCGCCTTGGCCTCCCAAAGTGCTGGGATTATAGGCTTGAGCTACCACACCCGGCCATTACTGTTCATTAGGGAGTTGATCTGTTCAAGTTTTCTGTCTTTTCCTTTACGAGTTTTGGCATTTAGTGTTTCCTATAAATTAACCCATCTACTGTGGCAGTTCAGAGCTTGGGTTTTAGAAGTTAGTCTGCCTGGATTTGAACTCCAGGTCTGCCCTTGCTGGCCGTGTAGCCTCCTGAAGATTTCTGGACTTGTTTCCTCACCTGAAAACATGATTTTGTTATTGAGAGAATTAAATGAGTTAATGTGCAAAGGCTGAGCCACCGAGCCCGGCCATGGTCATCTTTTCCATGCCAGGTTTGCCTCAGGATGTCAGGCCCCTTCCGGCACAGTGCTTGAACTTGGATGGCGCGTTCTGGTGGGGGACGGGGTGCGGCCTGCGAGAGAGTTTCCGAGAAGGAAGATGGCAGAGGAGGCGCAGGGAAGGAGGCAGCAAGGAAGCGCTGGATTCCCAGCGGGTGCCTCCTTCCCGCTCGCCAGGAAAGGGACTTGCTGCTGTTTTCTTCTTTAGAAAAGAAAGCAACATGGCTTTTTGTGTTCTTCTATAGCTGTTGAAGTCCTATAAGATGTTCAAGAACAAGTAATCTCCTAACTCATGTGGGAACTAATGAAGGTGAACCTGTAGAGGCTTAGGTGAACTGTCTCCTCTCTGTCTCCTCTCCTAGCTGACCTTAAACTTGGCCACTTTGGGCTACCCCTTCGGGTCCCCACCCACTGTGGGAGCTTTTGTATCCTCTCAATAAATCCTGCTTTCTCAAAAAACAAACAGACAAAAAAACTTGGCCAACTTATTAACGTAAGTGTATAGATATTGGTGGCCTTGGTAGAGTTGGAGGGCACCTTCACGTTGTCCAGGCCAGCTTCCCCTCTGCATCTCCCTCGAGCGCCTGGGTACCCATGAGCCTGGACCTGGCAAACTCATGGCAGCCCCGTGTGGAACACCAGCCAGGCTGGGGACAAGTGTGACGTAGGCGTGCCTGCTTTGAGATCAGTCCACGAGCAACTTAAAAAGGGATTCAATTAGAGGAAAAGAAGGACTGTACCTCAGTCACTTTCTCCAGAAGTAATAGCAATTTCAGTACTGTGTTAAGTCCCATGGGGCTTCTGCTGCAAACTGGCCCATAAGGGCGGGAGGGGAGAGGGAGGTGGAGAACATTGGTGATTTCTACTAGGGGAGGTGAGCTTCCAGAATGCACCGGGCTAGTGCTGAGACAGGCTCAGCCAGGCTTGCTCTGGTCTGATGGCAGAGTCACAGTAGATGTGCGTGCTTCCCAACCGCAATTGACATTGCTTGTTTATTTTATTTTATTTGTAAATTGTGGGGTACAATTCAGGGTTAGGTCTACAAATATCCATTGTGTAGGTACCCTTGTTGATGACGTGTGCCCCCTCCCTGACATTGCTTGTTTTACTCATCATCTCTCTAACGCAGTTATTTCTTTTTTTAAGCTCCATTTTATTTCCAGTTACTTGGCTGCATTCCAAAATGACTTTGAAAAGCTCAGTAGTGAAGAAAAATCCACTATAGAAGAAGAAATGTTGCTTGAAATCAATAGGTAATTGTTTCTTCATTGTTTGATTTGTAAGGATAACTTACTCTGGACACACATGTGTGGGATGTAATTCCGAGTATCTTAGGAGCGTCTCTGAAGTCCTCTGTCTCTAGGACTTGGTTCAAAATAGAGTCTGCTGCCTCTCCACTGTGGCCGGGACCGTTCAACCTGTCTAGATCTCAGCATGTGGCAGGCAAGAAGAGAGGCCCCTGTGCAGGAAGGGCCAGGCCGCTCGGTGGGTTCAGACTCGGCTGTCAGGGCTGCTGCCACCAGGTCTGCAGACTGTCCCTGAGGCTTGTGGAGTGGTGACACCACATCCTGTATCCCAACTCTGGTTTCTCCTGGAAAGTGGTTGAAACTCGTGTGTATTGACTTTAAGTGTTGCTTTTAACTGATTTCTCAACAGCGTCAAAACAGGGCCCTGAAACCTCCAGGCTCCGCAGAGGTCTAGACCCATTTCCCCATCTCTGTAGTCAAGAGGCCTGTAGACATTCCTGTTCTCTGAGGTCTCCTGTGACATTATTTTCAGTAAGATGACTGTTAAGTCACTTGGCCCATCTCACCCGTCCAGCCCGCTTCCCACACGTCATCTCTGCGCGGTCTCCGGAATGTTCACACTGGCTCCCTGAGCACGACGCCAGCCTAGCCTGCCCGGCCCCAGAGCATAGCTCTTCCCTGTCCTCTTCTTGAAGTGGCGGAGTTAGACACAGAGGTGGGCGAGTTGCACCCAGCCAGAAAGGGACGCCCGGGGCCAGCGGGCCAGTGTCGATGAGGATGGGAACGCCCGTGCCTGAGCTCAGGCTTTATCTCCAGTGAGTGGACCTCCCGGAGGAGACTGGTTTGCAGTGACGGGCTTGGCACAGCCTAGGGGTGGGGTGCGGCTCCACTCGCACCCACCCCACCTCACTTCCATAAGGGCAGGAGGGGAGAGGGCGGTGAAAGCGCCTCCTCCTGCCTCCCAGGAAAGGCTTGCCTTCTGGTTGCGGGCACCGCCCCCTCCCACCTGGGGCAGAGATGGCCTCTTCCTCTCCAGCACGGCCACCAGGGCTGTCGCCTGCAACCGGGAATGTCGCTCTGTGTGCCATGGCCAGGTTGTTGCATGTGTTCGCTCTTGCAAGTCACCTCCCACTGGCCCGAAGCGGGAGCCGCCTGGATGGCATCCTCGTGGTTCTTGGTCCCCTAGAGTACAGCCCGAGGATTTGCTCACGCAGGCGAGGTTTGCATCCACAAAGTTAAATGCTGAAATGTCCACCTGGCGTGAACCTCCCCCATCGTCCTGCACCTGATACTGCGTCTCACGAGTGTCTCCTGCTTTTGTAATTGCAGGTTTGCCCTCGCGTCCCATTTCTTCTGGGGACTTTGGTCCATCATCCAGGCCAAGATTTCCTCCATTGAATTTGGGTACATGGTATGTCGTGGGCCCTTTTGGGTTTTTTTTCCGCTTCCCAGGAAGCAAAGCTGCAGTGTGTGAGGATATGGAGGCTTCCCTGTCCCCCAGGAACCGGGATGTGGTGACCCACTGGCACCAGGACAGCACGGTCAGCCCAGGAAGCTGGGAGAAGCCACTCTCACTGCTGCTGCTGCTCCCGTGAGGCGGCCCTCGCTCCCAGCCCCTGGGCCCTGCCTCCTGCACTCCGGAGAGGTGCTGGGGGTCGTGCTGTCCTGGAAGGAGGTGCAGACCTCGGGACCCCAGGGGCCCCACCTCTGACCTCAGTCCCTTCTGACACCAGGCATGCCAAGTGGAGAAATGTCGTGAGCCTGCCTGTGCTGTGGAGGGAATTGTCGGTTAGGTTACCGTGTCATTCTCTGGCCCAGAGTGCCCGCTTCACATGGGAGGCTGCTTCTCACTGAATGGGTCCTTCTGTTTCTGCAGGCACGTTTGTCATGATGCGAGGCTACCAGTTCATTCTAACGTGAGAGTTGTCCTTGACATAGAAGACACTGTGTTGAGGCTTTAGTTAACCCCCTTTGTTGCTCCATAAAGAATGCTGGTGGGTGTCGTGGGGTGGAGGCAGAGGGACCACGCAAATTCTGTAGACTAGTGAGCTGCGTTTCTGTGGGACACATAGTAGGGTTAGGTCACTTTGCCTTATCAGTCATATACTACAATGATTGCTACTTCTAGGCAGAAGCAATGCAGAGACACTATTAGGTAAAGAAAGAAGGGGCACAGTGACCCACACCTATAATCCAAGCACCTTGGGAGGCTGAGGCGGGAGGATTGTTTGAGCCCAAGAGTTCAAGACCAGTCTGGGCGACATAGTGAGACCTTGCCTCTACAAAACAAATCTAAAAATTAGCCTGGTATGGTGGTATGTGCCTGTCGTCCCAGCTACTCGGGATGTTGAGGCAGGAGGATCACCTGAGCCCAGGAGGTTGAAGCTGCGGTGAGCTGTGATCGTGCCCCTGCACTCCAGCCTGGGCAACAGAGTGAGATGCTGACTCAAAACATGAAAAAAGAGAAGGGACATTTGGGTTTTTAAGGCCAGCTTGGAGCCATGGTCAAATGTTACTGTAAGTCAGGTCCACTCATAACAAGGAATATGACCACCGATAAACAAGGTGATTTTGTAGCCATGAGGGCGTCGAGATGTCTGGGGGACTCATGGATCTGCTTATCTTGCTCAAAAGGCATGAGATAAACACGGACAGAACTGGAAGGAGAGACAGCTGGCTTCACATCCAAAGGAGGAGACATCTCACCTCCCCGGCTGTGGTTAGAATAGTGAGCACACAAGTGCATGGAAGACACAGGCCCCACTGGCCTGGCCCGTGCACATTTGCTGGGCACCAGCAAGGACAGGGCACAAACAGAGACAGACTGAGTGCGGGGTCAGAGAGTTTAGAGGCTGAGACGGTACAGAGTATGTGCTCACTGGAATCTGATCAGAAATCAACAATGAAGAAAGGTATCTAGAAAACCCCCAATTATTTGGAAATTAAACAATACGTTTCTAAATAAACTTTGGGTCAAGGAAATTAAAAGAACAATTAGGAAACATTTTGAAGTGATGATAATGAAAACATAGCATGTCAGACTTGGCAGATTAGACTTTGTGGCATACATGTTTCTATTAGAGGAGAAAATTCTCACACTAGTGACCTGAGCTTCTGCCTTAAAAAACTAGGAAAAAAGTCGGGCTCAGTGGCTCAGCCTGTAATCCTGCGCCTTTGGGAGGCTGAGGTGAGTGGATTGCCTGAGCCCGCAGGTTCGAGACCCTCCTGGACAGGCAAGGCCTCATCTCTACAATAAATCAAAAAATTAGCTGGGTGTGGTAGCACGCACCTGTAGTTCCAGCTACGTGGAAGGCTGAGGCGGAAGGATCGCCAGAGCCCAGCAGGTCGAGGCTGCAATGGCCGGGAGCGGCCACTGCACTCCGGTCTGGGCGACAGAGTGAGACTCCAACTCAAAAAAAAAAAAAAAGTATCAAAGAGTATTCTGAACAACTTCGTGGCCAGTTGATTTGACAATTTGCGTGAAATGTAAAAATTCCTTGGAAGATAGAAATTACCAAAATTGACATAAGAAATATATTTATTAAATAAATTGAATTTATAATTTAAAAAAACCTTAATAGAGTAAACTGAAGGTCCAGATGGTGTCTCTGGTGAATACTGTCAAGCACTTAAATCAGAAAATATACCAGAACGACACACACTTTTAGAAAATCCATGAAGTGGTAGCATTTCCCAACTCATTCGATGAGATTAGCATTACACTGATACCAAAATAAGACCAAGACATTTTGAGAAAGTTGCAGATCAGTGGCCTTCATAAACATTACACAAAATCCCTGTCAAAGCTTTGGCAAAAATTAAACCCACTGACATAGAAAAGGATAATATATTACGAGCAAGTGACATATATCCCTAGAATGCAAAGTTTGGTTCTCATTTCAAAAACCAGTTTTGCCTGGCACAGTGGCTCATGCCTATAATCCCAGCACTTTGGGAGGCGGAGGCAAGAGGATTGCCTGAGACCAGCCTGGCAACATACAGAAAATCAAAAAACTAGCTGGGCATGATGGTGCACGCCTGTGGTTCCAGCTACTTGGAAGGCTGAGGCAGAAGGATCACCTGAGCCCAAGAGGCTGAGGCTGCAGTGGCCGTGAGCATGCCATTGCACTCTAGCCTGGGCAACAGTGAGACTCCTATTCAAGAAAAAAAAGAAAAGTCAGTTTCTGTAATTCTTCATGTTAACTGAATGAAGGTGAGAAGCTGTATGACTATCTCAGTGACTACAGGAATAAGCATCTGACAAAATCCACATGATAAAAAAGGACTAGAAAGGAATTCCTCAGCCAGATAGAGGGCATGTGTGAAGACCCCGCAGCTGGCATCATTATTGGCAGAGGACAGAGTGTTCCCTCTCACCCACACCCTGGGTACCGGGCACAGCCAGGAGGCCTGCCCTCCTGTGTGTCTTCCCAGTGCACAGGAGTGCTGAGCCAGCAACAACGAGGCAAGACACAACACATAGGCATGCTAGAAAGGAAGAAAAAGGCCTGCCTTTGTTCCGCCGATGACCTGACCATGCACATCAAAAGCAATCAGGAAATAAGCCAAAAAATTGTTTCAACAAATGGCCAGCCATGGAGACTCACTCTTGTAATCCCAGCGCTTTGGGAGGCCACGGTGGGAGGACTGCTTGAGCTCAGGAGTTTGAGATCAGCCTGGGCCGTGTAGTGAGACACCATCTCTGTAACAACAAAAAAAAATAGCCAGTTGTGGTGGTACACATCTGTAGTCCCAGCAACTTGGGAGGTTGAGGCAAAGGATCTCAAGCCTAGGGGTTTGAGGCTGCAGTGAGCTGTGATCATGCCACTGCACTCCAACCTGGACGACAGAGCAAGACCCTGTCTATAAATAAGTAAATAAATACTAATGAGTGAGTTTATCAGGGTCACAGGATACAATGTCAGTATGCAAAATCAATTGCATTTCTACATGCTGGAAACAACTGTACTTGAAACAACATTTAATTGCATTTACAGCAGCCTAAGAAACATGAAATATTCCAGGGCTAAGTTTTTAAATATGTACAAGATATGGACATTGAAAATTATGAAAGAGTGAAAAGTAAAGACGCCGGAAAAGTGGAGAGAGATCCCCAATAGATGGAAGTCTCGGGGTGAAGGTGTCCGTTCTCCCCACACTAACCCGGGAATTCTCTACAGTGCTAATCAAAACCCTGTGGGACAACTGCTTGGGAGGCTGAGGCCGGAGGATCGCTTGAGCCAGGAGTCTGAGGCTGCAGTGAGCCATGGTTGCACCACTGTTCTGCAGCCTGGGTGACGAAGCGGGACCCTGTCTCTGAAAGGGGAAGAAAAAAACACCACACAGGCTTTTGTGTAGAAGTTGACACGCAGAGCCTAAAATGTGTGTGAAAATGGAAAGATGTGAAATAGCCTAAGCAATTTTGTAAAAGAACAAAGAAAACTTCCGCTGTCTGGCTTCGAGGTTTCTCTGAAGCACGGTAATCACGACAGTGTGGTGTTGGCATAAAGATGCCAGTCGGCCGGAACTGAAGACCGCCCAGAAACACCACAAGGGTACTGTCAACTGGCAACAGAAAGGCCACGGTCACTGGTGGGGGAAAGGGTTATGTCTTCGAAGACAATGCAGGAAGCTCTGGAGAGTCACACGGAGGAGTGAGCCCAGAAATCTGCTCAGAACAGACTAGACGACGTGTGAAGACTAGGGCTGGAAGTGTCGGGTTTCTGTAACACGGGAGAGAAGCTTTGTGACCAGGGCACACATTTCTTGAGTTCCGTAAAGCACTAACCGTGAAAGGGGAAAAACGCCGTGAGTTGGATGCAGGCAACACACCCCCGAGAACTTCCTGTTCTCCCACTCCACGGCAAGTCACCCACACTTGACCCAATGTGGGGACGTCCCACCAGCAAGCCAGCAGTAGCTCCACTGCGGACGCCAGCAGGCTGTCCGGGTCAGCTCCCTTGCTGTCTACCTGGGGATGGTGTCGGGCTCCACTGGTTGCACTCAGTCCCCAAGACTGTCCCCTCCTACTTGAGACACCCGTGGCAAGCAAGTGCCAGGCTCTGGGACGGACTTCTACCTGACCTGCCGTATATCAGGGTTTCCATAGCTCCCTCCTAGGCTTGATGAATTTGCCGGAGCAGCTCAGAGAACTCGGGGAGACTCGTGTATCACAAAGGATATTTTTGTTCCTTTTTTCTTTTTTTTGGAGTTAGAGTCTCATTCCGATGCCCAGGCTGGAGAGCCATGGCACACTCACAGTGAGTCCAACGTTGACCTTCTGGGCTCTTGCAATCCTTCCGCCTCAGCCTTCCAAGTAGCTGGAACTACAGGTGCGTACCACCACGCCCGGCTAATTGTTTGATTTATTGTAGAGACGAGGTCTCACCAAGTTGCCCGGGCTGGCCTCAAACCCATGGGCACAGGCTGAGCCACCGAGCCTGGCCTTTTTTTTTTAAGGGACATGAGTTTCACTATGTTGCCCAGGCTGGTCTCCCACTCCTGGCCTCAAGCAGTCCTCCTGCCTCAGCTCCCAAATGCTGGGATTCCAAGCACGAGCTACCACACCTGGTCACAAAGGATGTTTTAGAAGAGGCAGGTGAGCACCCGGATGAGGCACGTAGGCAAGGCTTTCCCCATGTCACAGTGCCCCCCTCCTGGCACGCGGACGTGCCTGTCACCTCGCCGGCCTCCCCGTGTCTGGGCGCTTCCCGAGCCTGCCCTCTCGGGCCTTCTGCGGAGACTTTGTCGGACAGGCCCCACCGGAACACGGGCCGCCGTGTCAGGACGCGAGGGGCAGAGGACGGTCCCAGCCCAGACTGTTCTGGCTGCTTGCATCCGGGGCGTGGGCGGGCCCCTCTCTGGAATGAAGGTCTCATGACCTACAGCCGGTGAGGGTTACGCCTCGGGCAGGGGAGAGGAGGGCAGGAGACTGGCCACGTCTGCTTCTGAGGCTCCAAGCGCCCAGTGGGGCAGCTGGAGACAAGGGCCGCGGGGTTGGCAGTCGGGAAGTGAGGACCTGGCCGGCGTGTGCCTCTCATGGTGTCACAGTCGGAGTTTGCCAGAATGAAAGACTCTTTGAACGACGCCATTAAGAAAAGGAAAAGGGCCGGGCTCAGTGGCTCAGCCTGTCATCCCAGCACTTTGGGAGGCCGAGGTGAGTGGATTGCCTGAGCCCGCGGGTTCGAGACCCGCCTGGGCCACTTGGCGAGACCTCATCTCTACAATAAATCAAAAAGTCAGCCAGGCGTGGTAGTGCATGCCTGTAATTCTGGCTACTCGGAAGGCTGAGGCGGAAGGATCGCTGGAGCCCAGCAGGTCGAGGCTGCCGTGGCTGGGAGCGGCCACTGCACTCCAGTCTGGGCGACAGAGTGAGACTCCAACTCAAAAAAAAAAAAGAAAAAGAAAAGGTTTCTCCAGCATTTAAGAGAGAGAAAAAGAGTTTGATCATGAGGGAAAGATAAAATGAGAAGGCAAGTCACTGACTGGGAGAAGACACCACACATGTGTATTTGGCAGCGGGCTTGTATTTAGAATGTTGAAGGAGTTGTAGCCAGCAGAAGCCCTGCCTTCTTTGCAGGTGACAGGAGAGCTAGACACCTAGCAGGAGGGCGGCAGCACCAGGAAGCATCTGGCCATGCGTTTCCCAGAGAAAGGCGGCTCGAAGCTCTGTCTGACACTCCCAGCCACGGTCAAGGCTGGAACCTGCCAGGCCACGAGCCGGCAGGCCTGTGGCGCCACGGGAGGGCACGAACCTGCTGGTGGGAATGTCAGGTGGGCGGGCTGGCAACCCGTCCCAGGAGTGTCCCAGGAAGGGAGGCCTGGACTCCACACTCGCTGCAGCATAGCCCTGCAGGCGAGCGGGTGACAGCGTGGCAGGCTCATGTCGTGGCTGGCGGCCCAGGAGTGCCGACTTGGTGGCCGGCACCACGGGTGGTCCAGCAGCAGGAAGGCCCAACGACAGGGACAGCAGTGGGGTCAGCGCCCGCCTAAGGCCAGGAGCAGATGGCCAGACGCCAGGCTGCCGGGACAGGCGTTCTCGGACCGTGGCGGGACAAGACCTGGAGGGGCGTCTGGAAACGCCATATGTGCGTTGAAGACAGGCTCGTGCTGGCGGGGGAGAAATTGCAGCTCTCAGCTTCTCAAAAAGGGGCATCATCCTGTTCCTGGCACTTACAACTGAGACGTTTAGATCTGGGTGGGCCCCTAAGAGACTGTTGTACCCACTGGTAGGCAGATGAGGGGACAGACCCGGGGCACGGGCAGAAACAAAGCCCACAGCCAGGTTTGTCCCACCTCCATGTTCTCAGCGGTCGCGGCAGGGAGCCGGGAAGTGGGCGGCGCCCCCTCCTCCCTCCCTCCTGTTCTGGACCGCTCAGTCCCTGCAACCCTTCGTCCCGAAAGAAGAACCTTTCTGTGTTGGGCAGTCCGTGCCTCTGGCATTCAAGGCCAATGACCCGGGGAAAGATAGTGCCAGGTGCGTAGGTGAGGAGCCCTTCCCACGTGGCAGGGCCAGGCCGGCTGGGAGCTCGGTCTGCTGAAAGTGAAGGTGGGAGCCGGGCGCAGTGGCTCACGCCTGTAGTCCTAATAACACTTTGGGAGGCCGAGGCGGGAGTATCGCTCAAGGCCAGGTGTTCAAGACCAGCCTGGGCCACATAGTGAGACCTTGTATTTACAGAGAATTATTGATTTATTTTTTAATCTTTTATTTTTTTGAGTTGGAGTCTCGCTCTGTCGCCCAGACTGGAGTGCAGTGGCCGCTCCCGGCCCCCGCAGCCTCGACCTGCTGGGCTCCGGCGATCCTTCCGCCTCTGTTCTGAATAGCCGGAATTACAGGCATGCGCTACAACGCCCGGATGACTTTTTGATTTATTGTAGAGTTGAGGTCTCGCTGCCCAGGTGGGTCTCGAACCCACGGGCTCAGGCAATCCACTCACCTCAGCTTCACAAAGGCACGGGATTACAGGCTGAGCCACCAAGCCCGGCTTGATTTATTTTTTAATCTTTTCTTTGTTTTGAGTTGGAGTCTCACTCAGCCCAGACTGGAGTGCAGTGTCACATTCACAGCCACTGCAGCCTCGACCTGCTGGGCTCCGGCAATCCTTCCCCCTCAGCCTTCCAAGTAGCCGGAACTACAGGTGTGCGCTACCATGCCCGGCCAATTTTGGATTGTAGAGACAAGGTCTCGCCAAGTTGCCCAGGCTGGTCTCAAACCTGCAGGCTCAGGCAATCCACTCGCCTCGGCCTCCCAAAGTGCTGGGATGACGGGCTGAGCCACTGAGCCCGGCCTACAAAGAATTCTTTTAAAAGAGAAGGCAGAGGTGCGTGGGGTGTGCGAGAGCTGGAGAGCCCGCGTCTGCCGTGGCTGCGCCTTGACAGCGCGTGGCATGTCGTGTGCCCTGGGTCTGGCCGTGCCCTCGGGGCGCATGGGCGGGGCAGGCGTCCGCCTGGTGAGCCAAGCCGTCTCCTGCTGTCTCCTAGGACTACGCCCAAGCGCGGTTTGACGCCTATTTCGACCAGAAGAGGAAGCTGGGGGTGTGACCGCGGGGACCCGTCCCCCTGGTCACTGGACTGGCGCGGCGGAGCGGGCCCTTCTGCTTTGGCGACGGCACCTCGGCGGGAAGGCCGTGGGCAGCTCACTACTGACACGGACGTGTATGATGACTACAGACTGTATTAAAGCGAGTGACATTTACTTCATATCTTGTTTATGGTTTCACGAGGACTCGACGAGGTCAGGAGGCAGAAATACAGCCCACTCGTGCAATAGCGCCAGGCCCGGGCCCCCAGTCTAGCCGGGCAGGACCCCTCGGGCCGAGGCCCAGGCAGATGTGGCCGACTGGCGGCGAGGGCCCTGGCCACGCGGAGTCCCGGGTTTTCCATCCGTGTGACCGCGTGGCCCAGGCTGTCGGCGACGGTGCGTCACACTCCTCCAGGACGGCCACGAGCAGGACATGCTGTGAAGTCACCTGTCACCCGGCCAGGGGCCTCGACCAGGTCTCCAGAAGCTGCTGCGTGTTGGGCCCGGCAGCCGCGGCCAGAGAAGCAAATTGCCCGGGGCCGTGGCTGGGTCCGCACGTGGGGGAGCCTGGGCCTCCCGCCTCTGGACGTGACCTGCCACGTGACGAGCGCGTGTAACGGGCGCTCCGCCCCACGCTCGGCCGCGCCCGCCTCGTGCATGAGCTGTGTGCACCGGCGGGCGAGCCGCAGTGAGGGGCCTGCCCTCCCTCCGGCGCCCCCCTGGCGGCGCTGCTCCCGGCCCTTCCCTGCCCGCAGCAGCCTGGAGCTTGGCACCCGTGTGGACCGGCTCCCCGGGGCTGGCTCTGCCCGGGACCCCTGCCGCCCCTGGGCAGAGAGAAACCTGGTCCGGCCACCCCGTGTCCCGCGGCCCTGGGGTTGTCCTGTGGGCAGCGGCAGCCGCGTGGGGCCGGGCCGAATCTAGCTGTGAAATTCCTGTGTTCAGCGTCCTCCGGATCCGTTCTTAGCCGACTTTTTTTTACTCTGAACTCTGAATTGGTTTTTGTGCATATATTTCTGCTACCACAGAGATTGTACTATACAAATAAATAAAGACGTTAAAGACGCAGCTTCCAGCCGTCTCCCTTGGGAGGGCTCCTGGGACCTCCGGGCGTGAAGGTTCTGTGGCCCACCCCCCCGCACTGTCCCCCC